TTATCAGATTGCTGGCAATCCCGTTATAATTAATTAGTTCTTGCCTCGTTAAACAGGTTTCGCCTCTGTAGTGCCACAATCCCTTAAGTGCATTTCTACACCGACGCCAGGGCTGTCTTGTCCACTTGGCATAGGATCTGATAAAACCATTGCCAGTTGTGCACTTTTGCAGACTGCCAGGCAGAGGATTATTCTGCCATGGGATGGCAGGGTAAAAAAAGGTGTATGTCAGCCATAAAACTAGACCCACTTTGACTCATGTTAGCCAAAGACCCGGCTAAGAAAGATATGCAGATGACACCATAATACCAGCGGAAGACGTTGCAGACTTGGAACAATTACTAAGGAAGGTCAAAGATGAAAGTACAAAGGCAGGCTTAATGCTGAATATAAAGAAAAGCAGCAAAATAATAATAATAATAATAATAATAATAATAATAATAATAATAATAATAATGACCATGGAAAAAATACTCACATTCAACCTAGGCAATGAAGAAACTGAAATAGTTAAAGAGTTCCCATACCTTGGATCAAGCATTGATCAAAATAGGGACTGAAGACTAGGAATGGGAAGGACAGCCATGAAAGAACTAGACAAGATGCCAAGGAGCAAAGATATACAACTGAGCACTAAAGTTAGAAGCATCCAAGCCATGGTATTCCCCATCACTACGTATGGATGCAAGAGCCAGACGGTGACGAAAGCAGATAGGAAGAAGATCAACTCATCTGAGAAGTGGTGATGGAGAAGAGTGCTAAGGATTTTGTGGATGGCCAAAGAGACAAACAAATGGGTCCTAGAACAGATCAAGCCTGAAATCTCCATGGAAGCCGAGATGATGAAATTGAGTACTTTGGCCACATCATGGGAAGGCATGGATCACTAGAAAAGATAATAATACTAGAAAGGTAGAGGGTAGTAGAAAAGAGAGGAAGACCGCACACCATTCATTCAGGGAGATCACAGACCTTAATTTGGAGGACCTGAGCCGAGCAGTGGAGGACAGGATGTTTTGGAGATTTTCCATCCACAGGGTCACCATGAGTTGGGATCAACTCGACAGCAGTTAACAACCACAAAAGAAGCAGATTGTAATAATACTATGTACTCTTAGTACTATGGCTGCATTTTGCATTGTTCTCAACACAGTTCACCTGAGCTTTACATAGTACTCTGTGCAAAGGCTTGCTGAAGAGAGCCAACTTGAAGGCACCTAACCATGAACAACCGAGGGTTACTACCTAGTAGTAACTTGTCCAGTTGTTTAATATGGTTTTGGAGGTTTAATCTGGAAAGGAGGTCAGTGGGGTGTGACTGCACCAGGTGATGCCAACTTTAGTGATGCCACTGGCAGGGCTGCCAACTGATGCCACAGTAAGAAAAACCTCTTCTGCTTCCAAAGAAATCATAAGAAAATGAGAACAAGCCACTGTCTCCCTGCTACTGGGAAATGTCATGATTTAGTTATCCAGTTATGTCCTTAATGTCAAAGTGCAGATTCTCCAGGCGGCTTGGAGTCCACAGAATTGGGCAACCAACCTGCCGAAGTCATGGGAGAAGCATGCAGAGAACAGAGGTTGGTTTGGAAAATGGTGTCTCTTGCGTCATTTCTATATAGCCAAGCTCACCAAAGGAAGCCCTTAGTTGGCCTGACACTCCCAGGGAGCTCTTGCAGCCAAAAGCCACTCCTGCCTGCCCTCTGACTCAGATCCTAAATTCTCAGCACAATAGCTGCGGTTCAGAGGAGAAATGGAAAGAACGTTCAAAAATATTTGAAAAATGATCGAAAAACAGGTTTCTTGCATGTCAGGAAACCCTCGCCAGGTGAACCCCGGATGGGTAAGACTTTCCAGAGTTGGAGAACAATTCTGGGCAAAATAATGCCCAATTTGGTGTTGGGTGCATAAAATGGTATTTAAAATTACCTTCAGGCTATATGTATAAGATTCATGATTTAATGCAGGTTGAGTCTCCCTTATCTGGAGGAACACCAAAATACTCCAAAATACAAGATTCATGATTTAATGCACGTTGAGTCTCCCTTATCCAGAATACCCAAAAATTCCAAAATATGATTCATGATTTAATGCAGCTCGAGTCTCCCTTATCCAAAATGCCAAAATATTCCAAAATATAAGATTCATGAGTTAATGCAGGTTGAGTCTCCTTTATCGGGAGGAATGCCAAAATACTCCAAAATCCAAAACAATGTTTATGGGTGGCTGAGACAGTGACACTTTTGCTTTCTGATGGCTCAGTGCACACACACTTTGTTTCATGCACAAAATTATTTTTTTAAAAATTCTGTGTATAAAATTACCATCAGGCTGTGTGTAAGGTGTATATGAAACATAAGCGAATGTCATGTTAAGGCTTGGCTCCCATCTGCAAGCTCTCTCATGAGGTATATGCCAATATTCCAAAATCTCAGAACCACTCCTTTGTCACCATACCAAAGAAGAACATACCTTTTAAAACGGCTTTCATTCCTAATCCATATTTTACCTCCCTTCCTCCTTCTCTAGCAGGAAATTCTCATTTTTAAAACAAGCAAGCTTTCTTGCGCTCCCGTTTTTCAACCTTAATCCTCTGCCCCTTCTCCCTTTTACATGCACCCACCCATTTAGCAATCGGGCAAAGCTGCCCCAGGCTTTTCTTCCAGCCTTTCCTGCCCCATATTTCAGCATTATGCTAAAGGGTTCCTTTATGAGGCTGTGAGCAAGGCATCATCGCATCATGCAAAATGATTGGGACACCTCTCGAGTTTATTGCTCGGCTCTGGCTAAATGCATTCCCCTTTGCCACCTTTCCAAAAACTTCTTTTTACTGGCACACACCAGAAAGTGTGCAAGACCATGCCACCATGCTTCCTCACTGCTATGTTCTGCCATTCAGCCCAGGCTGGCTTTCCAACCCTGTTCTCACTCCCGCCTGAGCCTGTTGTGATTGTTGGTGTGTGCCTTCAACTCATTTCCTACTTATGGTGACCCTAAGGCACACCTATCATGGGGTTTTCTTGGCAAGATGTATTCAGAGGAGGTTTGCCATTGCCTTCTCCTGAGGCTGAGAGAGTGTGACTTGCCCAAGGTCACCCAGTGGGTTTCATGGCCAAGCCAGGATTCGAACCCTGGTCTCCAGAATCGTAGTCCATCACTCAAACCTCTATTACGCCATATACAGCCCTTGCCATGTGTTAAAGTCACCATCTTTTTACACCTAGACAATGAAAACCCAATTTCATTGAAGGGAAATATAAAAGGAACAGCATGTTTGTATTTGTGGAAAAAGGGATATTGAAGACACCATATACTATATGGGATGGGGTGTTGTTGTATTGTTTCAAAGTATTTTTTTAACATTTTTTATCCTTTTAATTGTAGTTTATTCTTTTAACATTTGTAACTTGTTTTAATATCGTAATAATTTAATTCTATTTTAATGTACTATTTTTGTATGCTTTTAATTGTAGTGTTTTGTAATGTTGTGAGCCGCCTTGAGTCCCAGTTTTGGGGAAAGGGAAGGATAGAAATAAATGTATTATTATTATTATTATTATTGCATTAATACAGTTATTATTATTAATATAGTATTAATACAGTTATTATTATTAATATTACTATTATTATTACAGTTACTATTAGGGCTTGACTACTGGCGTTTTTCCATTTTCATGGGGGGATCCAGAACAGATCCCCCGCAAAAATGGAGGGTCAACTGTAATAATAATAATAATCATAGAATCATAGAATCAACTGTAATAATAATAATAATAGCAGCAGCTATATAAAACTCCAAAATATAAGTTTCTTAAGAGAAGTTCAGAACTTGTAGCTAACCAAAATGATCTGGAGAAAATCATTTACTTTGTTAGCTAATATAGCAAAGTCAGTTATGTTTAATACTGCCAGATCCGCTGTGATAGCAGCTAAATTTATTAGATTAGATTTCGACGATAATGGCCTGTGTAGGAATCTGCGATATTTATACTAATTTGAACGGATTGTGTGTCACTGTGATGTGCTTAGTACGAAACATTTTTGCAATTATGGTTTAAACATTTTGTTTTATATGGTACAGAGCCAGCTGTGACTGTAAAGGTTTTAAAAGGTTTTAATCAATTTTGTAAGATGGCAATTTGATGGCTATAACCTGTATATGGCTGTCGTGAAATAAACTATCCTGTATTATTAACTAGCCTCTGCCAACTTCAGCAGGTAGTATCTACCTATGCTAGCACTGCACTGCAGAAATAATCCAGGTTGAAATCACTTTAACTGCATGGAACTCAGTGCTATGGAACTCTGGGAATTGTAGTTTGTTCTGGCACCAGAACCTTCTGCCAGAAAAGGTTAAATGTCTCACAAAACTACAATTTCCAGAACTCCAGCATGGAGCCAGGGCAGTTAAAAGTGGTGCAAAACTGCATTATTTTTGCAGTGTTGATGCAGACTAAGAGACAACCAAGGCATGTTAATGTAATATGTAAAGTAAGGTGTAATGTGCTTGTTAATTTTAATGCTGAAGATAATTTTATATATATGTATTGCATTATATTATATTTTTATATATGTGTATTGCATTGCATTGCATTATATTATATTATATTATATCATATTATATTATATTCAGAGACAACCAAGGCAGCTTCTGGCTGAAATACAGGACGAACCCCCCCCCCCTCCTTTATGTCCAAACATTTGTTCTAATATAACAGCACTATTTATTTATTATTGATTATATTTATGTATATCCCCTTCCTCCCACCCCATGTTGGAACTCAAAGTAGCAGCTTCCAATTTAAAAGAATACAATTAAAAACATACAAAAGTGAACATTAAAATAGAACTAAACTGTTACAGTATGTTACTGTATAATATTAGATGAAACTGTTACCAACTCTAACTTTGCAAACACACACAAACACATGGCCATATATCACAGAGTCACCTTAAAACTGAAAGCTTGACTTTTAGCTGTCAGGAAACAAACTTGGGCAGCCAAGATGGCACAGTGGTTTGAGTGTTGGACTGCGACTTTGGAGACCAAGGTTCAAATCCATGCTCAGCCATGGAAATTCACTTAATCTGGTGCATTCAGGATGCATTCGGGACAACGGAGAGATTCAACCCGGATTCATCCTGGATTATTTTTGCAGAGTGAATGGCCCCTAGGATTGTATGAGGAACAACAATATTCAATGCAAGGTTGTGGAAGTGATGCTGTGCATGTGGTGCCACCATGCATGCATGCAAAAGCACATGTGCATTTGGGTTGCAATGATGCCATTGAGGCACAATGCTGCCATTTGATACCAAGGTTGCACATCATGATCCGTACAGAGCGCTGCACACAGAGATGTAAGCAACAACAACCCAGATGCAAAGTGTGTTTTCTGCTCACACTGGAACACTACTACAACCCAAATGCAAGAGAGAGCACATGGGTAAGAAGGAACAACTCCTCTTTTGCAAAGGACAACAACTATCCCAGCCTTTGCATGCAGCACTTTCCAGGAGGAAGGCCAGCAACACTTACACACACACACACACACAAAAGACACACCCCAACCATATCTGCTTTGAACAAGGGTGGCAATGTTTTTTCAATTACAGGTTATGAGATACGTCTGTCAAACTCAAATCGCCTAATCTAATTAAGAGAGACAACTTCCTTCATTAGAACACTTCCAGCAATTTGTTATTCGGGATCTTTTGTTGTGTGTCTCCGTCATTTCTGATTTATGGCGACCCTAAGGTCCTCACCTATTCTAGGATTTTCTTGGCAAGTTTTTGTCAGAGAGGGTTTCCCATGGCCATCCTCTGAGGCTGAGAGAGTGTGACTCGCCCAAGGTTTCCATGGCCAAGCCAGGATTTGAACCCTGATCTCCCAGTGTCCAACACTCAAACCATTACACCACACTGGCTCTCTTTATGTTGTATGGATAGGGTTTTAGAATTCCCTGCTAGAGAACTTCAGTTCCTCTGAACTTTCTCACAAATCCCATAATTCCGTAGCATGGGACCCTTGCAGTTAAAGTGGTGTCAAACCCAATTATTTTTGCAGTGCGGATGCAGCCATTGCTGTAAACATGCAGAATGCAAATGCAATAAATGCAATAACCTCCATGTGTGCCCATCTAAACATGGTCACCTTGCTCTTCTTTAGCATAGCTATTTCTTTTGCAAGAACCCAAGTGTTCCCATCCCAGCTCAAGACAGACAAGTACAAATAACTGCTAGATCTTGTATTCTTTTTATATTTTAAATAAGGGCAGCAAATTGCAATTCCTTCTCTCCCAGCAGCACCCATCCTGAATCAGTTTCCTCCCAACACATTAATCCAATTACGCCAAACACTGCCTGCATTGTACCTTAAAACTCATACAAAATTCAGACTTTCCAGTTCTAGCATTATTCCTTATTTTCTCTCTCTCTGTAAGTCTGTTTTATTAATATCAGAGAAAAGACTACTAACACTTCAGAACCTCTATGTAAAACTACATAAAAGCACAATCTGTTGTTTTTTGTGCATTATCTGCACAGAAGGAAGACAAGCTCCCTGCATGTGAAAGCACATTTCCCTTGCAGAAAACAATATTCCTGTGCAGAAAAACATTTCCTCTGCATGCATGGCACTTTCTGCAAAGAACAGAACTTTTTCTGAGCAGAAAATGCCATTTTCAGCACACACAAAAAAGATGCATTTTGTCACGCAGAGTAATTCTCAAACCATGAAGATTCTCCTCCCTCAAGGAGTCTCATCATCAAGGTTTCCCAACACTCGACAAACCCACTTTTTAAAAACCAATTTATGAATTTTTCCATCCCTAGTGACCCACAACTTCCTATTTCTTTGGTGGCTCCCATTTTTGTTTTGGATTATTTTAATTTTTATGTACACACTCATTCGCATATTGCAACTTTTGGCAGCTACTCCATCTTTGCTTCCATAACTGGTGAGACTGTGACTGCATCCGCACTGCAGAAATAATCCAGTTTCACACCAATTTAACTGCCATGGCTCAATGCTATAGAATCCTGAGAATTGTAGTTCATTGTGGCACCAGACCTCTCTGACAGAGAAGGCCTAATGTCTCACAAAATTACATTTCCCAGAATGCCATAGCATTGAGCCACATGATAGTTAAATCAGTGTCAAACTGCATCCATTCTGCAGTGTAGATGAAACTCAAGTCAAGAACAATAATCCGGAAGATCCGATTGGAACAGATCAGTGGCATCACCCAGTGTAGTTAACTGTTACTCATAAATTGTAATTCCCATATATTACTAAATGTTAATAGTTGTGACCTAACATAACACAAACAACTAGCAAAATTAAAATTATACCTTTAGATTACAGTATCATATGCACAACCTGGATGTATTTACACATGCGGTTAAAGTAAAAATTTGTTAAGACGTAATATTTTTTACATCTTGTTTTGGTTTTTAAAGAAAATTTTTAAAAGAGTAAATAAATAAAAATTAAGAACTTGAGACCTCTGCTTTCTCTGCCCACTGAACCTCGCCCCATCCACAACTTCTCTTCTGCTGGGCTCCAGCATTTTGAAGGGATTTGGGCAAATGCCTCAGCCTGGTTTTGCCAAAAGGCAGACATTTGGAGAGCAGTGACTCACCCAGGATCAAAAGTCAAAATGACCCTAATAGATTAGAAAGCTGGGCCAAAAGTAACAAAATGAATTTCAACAGAGAGAAATGTAAGGTACTGCACTTAGGTAGAAAAAATGAAATACATAGATATAGGATAAGGGACACCTAGCTTAACAAGACTACGTGTGAAAGGGATCTAGGTATCCGAGTAGACCACAAGTTGAACATTGAGTCAACAGTGTGATACAGCAGCTAAAAGGGCCAATGTGATTCTAGGCTGCATCAACAGAAGTATAGTATCTAGATCAAGGGACGTAATAGTGCCACTCTATTCTGCTTTGGTCAGGCCTCACCTGGAATACTGTGTCCAGTTCTGGGCACCACAATTCAAAAAGGATGTTGACCCTTCCTTAGAGTGACCCTTCCGGTGCAATCTGCACCTCCTGCACCCTCCCTCATGACGTCTCTGCAATAAACCCATCCGTTCCTCCTTGCCCTCCAATTCTTTTGCTTTCAGCCCCACCCGTTTGCCACCTACCCAAAAAAAGCTCAGAGTTACACAACGGTCTCATGGGTGGAGTGGAACAGCACAGGTTTCTCTGGGATCCCACAAAGCCGACTGAGAAAGAGTGGGGTGCGACCCACTTGTCGGTTAAGAAAAGGTGCAAAGGTTTGAGATGGAAGGCCGAGATTGAAAAAGGAGATTGTAGCGTTGACAAAAAAGGAGAGGTGGAGGCAACCACCTGTTTGCAAAAGCCCTGGGCAACACCCACCTCCACCCGACTGCACCAGGTCTCTGCCTCTCCGCTGTCAGGAATCTTATCTAAAAATGAAACAGCAAGAGCCAGAATGCAGTCGAGCAAGTAGGGCCAGGATGGGCACAAACCATGGCAAACGATAGGAAGAGTCACCCATTGCAAATTGCAAACTTCCTCCTCCTCTGCCGTCATGACTCCCAGGAAGTAGCAGCATCAATGGAGCAAGGCTAGGCTCAGGGTGGGTGAGATATCCAGTGGCTTCTAGAATGCCCTGGACTCCGGGGTGGAAAGCCCCAACTCCAATCTCGTCAGCCGGATGTGGCTTCTGAGGTCATTATTATCTGGCCCTGGCCTCCTCATCTGGGATGTAGCCATGCTGGAGAAATAACTTAGTTTGACACCACCTTAACTGCCATGACTCTATCCTGTGCAATCCTGGGATTTGTAGTTTGGTGAGATGGTTGTCCTGGTTTCTCACCAAACTACCAGAGGTTGTGTTGGCTCTCTTCTCTCCTGCTGGATGTGCAGTAATAAAAACAAGACTTTAGGTTTTTGTGGGTTTTTCAGGCTGTGAGGGCTAGAAGAGTGTATTCCTGATGTTTCGCCTGCATCTGTGCCTAGCATCTTCAGAGAATGCTGGCATGGAGGTGTGTGGGGTATATTGACGGCCCCTAAGGAGTGGCTCCATGCGACCCCTGGGAGCTCCAGATCAGAGCCGTGGCAACCACACGCCGCAGCCCCAATCCAGCTCTTTGCCACTCCAAAAAGAGCTGGCAAATGCTGCTGTGGCTCTTCTACGCCCCTTTGGTGCAGCGTGTCTACACGCTGCACCAAGGGAGCACCCTAACACCACACACCATGCAGTGGGGCACATGGTGTGACGGCGGCACCGGGGCATCTGGCATGTGGTTGCCGTGCCCCAACTCCACCCACCTTTGTGGCCGATCTGTACAGGCCCTGTGTGACCGTTAGTTGAAAGGATTAGCATGTAAATCTGTGTATTGTTCTGTTGAAGCAAGGCCTCAGGGTGGGAGGATATGCAAGGAGGATTAGTGTCTATTTACTTACATGCTAATTCTCTCAACCAAGGGTCACACAGTATATATACCCAACACACTTCCATGCCACCATTCTCTGAAGATGCCATCCACAGATGCAGGCAAAATGTCAGGAATACACTCTTCTAGAACACGCACAGCCCAAAAACCCCACAAAAACCTATGGATGCTGGCCGTGAAAGCCTTTGACTTCACAAAAACAAGACTCCTTGGGCCACTAGAGCATACAGCACTCTCTGAGGTATACGCTCACAGAAGTAGCTTACTGGAGCAGAGTATGGAAGCACCAGTTCAGTTTAAGTCATGGCAACGCACTGACCATACTTGAATAAACTCACAGGCACTTGTTGATATCTTCCAAGTCCTTGGAGGTTCTTTATCAGTATTGGCAGTATATACAAATATGTACAAACACTCCTCACAACTCCCATCAACTTACTCCATCTGTTGTAATACAGCTTCAATCCAAACAAATCCAAAAACCAACCAACCTCAACACACTATCCATAACCACTATGTGCCCTGAGTCTCAGTGCATTTATAGAGAGAGTTGCCTAATGGTCATCACCTGTTGCCACTCAGCATGATACAATCTCTATTGCAAGCCTTTGCATCATGCCAAGTGCTGTGACTTAGCAA